GGGTTTTTGTTTCTCATAAACTTAGTTTTGTATTGTATGTGTGAACACAATGCTAATAATAAAGTTACTAAAACATGAAAATTAATCATTTTAATAACCAGGATAATAAAATTGAACAGAAATGGAATTATACAAAACCACGTGTTACAAAACTAGGTAGCATATCAACTGATGCGTTGGAAGGTGTCACGCGTTGGGCTCTGACACGGCGTCATCTGTGGCCGGGCAATTCACGACAGGTGAAATATTGTATTATAGGTAAAATTTATTGGTAAGGAAATATTAAGCAATCACTAAACGTACACATTAATGTTTTCTAATCGCCTGAATGACTGTATGTGAGAACAATAATATAATAATTTGTTATAAATCAATCATTATATTTTCAAAAAAACCTTAAAGATGTGACCTACTATTAAATAAATATACCATGATGGTTTAATAAAATCCTATAAATGAATTATTTTCGAGGTTCAGTTTTACCATTAGTACAATGTCACTATTAGTATAAAGATGCATATTAACAATACTCACTTACTCACTCTTCGCACCTTAATATTAAGAACAGTTCTCGAAGAAGTCAAATAGTTAATATAGATAACTCACAGTTTAACGTGAACGTAAGTATGTAAGACGTGCCAAATATTTACATAGCTGAATGGCGTAAGCTAAATCTTATAAATGGCCACAAAAGCAACACAAATAATCAATGAAAAGCAGATTTGTGTGTTGTTGACAATATTTTGTTGGTAATATTTTGATTACACCTTGTTTCTAATCATGTATCTGTTTCGCTAATTGTATTTGAACATAAACATGGTTTCATTTAATAATGCATATGGTCAATTAAGCCCGCCGACCCAAATACGTAAATCTTAATTTTTTACATTGTATTTGAAGTCCTGGGAAATCTTCCACATGTGATTATGTGCCATAAATAAGCCAGCAAATAGAGACACATTATATTAATATAGTTAAGCATTTTCTGTGTATACCCCCTCAGCTACACAACCGACATGACACCAATAGCTGCAGCACAGTTTAGTATGTAATACGGAGATTTGTACAAAATCAAGAATACAACCTCAAGCTTAATTGTAACAAAAAGAAATACGGCGAGATATACAAAGTGGCCCTGTATGTCTTATCGATGATTGCTGATCAGATAAAGCTAAAAATAAGCTGGCGTGCGTGTGTGAATGGATGTATGGATAGATGTATGGGTGGATGGATTGATATGTGGACGAATGGGTGGAGTGTTTATGGTTGGATGGATGGAATGAACATGAATGAGTGGGTGGAAGGAAGGAAGGAAGAAAGGGAGGAGAAAGAAAGAATTAAAGAACGAAAGGGTCGATAGATAGAAAGAAAAAAAGGAGATAGATAGAAGAATAGATGGTTGGATATTTGATTGATTGATTGACACGGGCGAATCATGCTTGCAGAAGTCATTTGTAATAAACAGATCAACACAACTATCAGTCCGTGTGCATATCTTCAGTGTTGAAATGATATGTGTGCGTTTATAAAAATTATGACATTCATGAAGAAAGCCATTCAGTCTGGCAATGTGATGTGCAATGATGCATGATTAGCTGTTGACGATGTACTATCTATAAATAATGTAGATTTTCTTGTCTTCATTGCACGTATACTAGTTGTAAATGACCACGTGATTGAGGGCTTATCACGACATTATCACAATCACGTCATCGTTATTAATAGACATCTATTAAATTAGTACGCATTGTTAGTTTGATAACATCATTGCAATCATCGTGACCATCTCTCATTGTCAGATATTGCAATCTGAATCATGTATCACGTAGCTATGTATGTAATATATATTAGCAACCTGTATCTTTTATTAAGGTTTATTTGTACCTTTCTCTCATCTGCATGAATTATATAGTAGGTATCTTAGTTATTATATGTACTATTATATATGTATTTTATACCACATGACTATGACAGCCAATCAGATTCGCGTATTGTAAGTAGACTTCCTGCTGACATATTCGTATGTCTACTTCCATCCGTGTACCTTCCTCCCGAATTTACTTGTCCAATAACTTATCAATGGACCACATTACGCGGAAATATTCATGAAATAATTGTGGTTGCGCGATTCCTCTCTCTAAAGAATCCGAGAGACGTAGACTTTGCCGCAGTACGGTACCACTGTGTTTGATTTTGTGTGTTTTGACATTATATCCACATATTAACATATTATGCATAATATATTTTTTGAAAGAGAATGATGTTGACATAAGCCTATACTCAAGCAGTGTGCAGTTCTTTGTGCAGCTGTTTCAGTGTGGCGTATAGCGGCGACCCGGAGATCATAAGGTAGTGCCGGCTAATTCTTCGCCAGGCTGAAGTTGCTGAAATTAGATTTATACAACCATGATTAAACTCAATAAATGCAATCACTGCTCTTGAACTCATTCAACTTGTATATTTGCACTGCGATGATGCCTAGAAAGATTGCAATGTACGATTAAGTGCCACAATTTCTGTTTTAGATTTATACGTTATAATAATACAAATGTTCACGCCAATAGCGGTAGACAAACAGTTTTATTGACCTTCTGAGATCTAAAATTGTATGTCCACCCCCGTTGGGATGAACATTTGTACAGTGTAGTATATGTCTTCATATTCAGTTTCAATCAATTACTTTCTATTTAAAATGTGTGCACCCCCCCTTGTGCTATATATATTAAATACATTATGCTAATTATATACGTGGTTGGACGACTGATTATGTGTACCACCATCTCGGGGTGTGCATTTATCGAACCTTGTCATCACCGTCCTTACACGATATGTCGAATATTCTGCTGTCTTTAAGGTTAGTCATCATATGTTGTGCCATTTAACACAATTGCCATGTATATGTTTGTTTTTACTGAGGATTTGTTCTTGTAATTTGTTTCTTATCGGTACGTTTGAGTAAGTATCCCTCACATAGTGATAACCATTAGCTGTGTATAAATAAATATGTCGTATATGTATGACATTGTCAGTGAAAGAACCAGATATTGCAATACCATGTCTAGGTACTAACTGTAGTCTGGAAAATCGTATGTTCGATAAAACTTGATTTCCGATGTCATCAAGAACTCAAATCCTAAACTGTATCTAGGACTTATGCACGTGCGTAGTTATATCCAACATGTGCATGTTAAGTTTCGGTTTTAAGCAATATTGTGTATATTTACATATAAATTGGGGACAACAATGTGGGACATTTTGCTCAGTATTTAGACAACGAACACACATTGAAACATGCTTAAATTCTTGTTTTACAACGCTTGTATAAGCTTGGTCGTTGTCTAATTGTTATGCGATGAGAATATTGTATCCAGTGACTCGGACTTTTTAAAATCTGTTGCCGCTGTTTCTCACTGAATTCACCACAAATTTGGGAATACATTTTCCTCTAGTGTGTGATCATATCTGGCCACTCGACCATATGCTGCAAGTGAGTGTAGTACTCGTGGCGAACGGTGAATATTTACCCGTTAACTTGTTGTACTCTTAAACATTTCAATCCAAGAGTACTTCCGCTGTCTCATACTCGAAATGGGTTTAAATTCAGTACCTATAGCCAAAGCAATAATTCAACAAGAATTCAACATTTCGACGTGGAAGCCGCTCGTACCATACACGATAAATCATTATGACAAACAAAATATCTAGTCTCTCAAAAAAAATTATCGAAAAATTATGTGAATGGAGAGTCTACGTATGTACTTTGTTTCGCAAGAGACGTAGTTTTGAAGGTGATGACAGTATCCTCCTATCATATTAGAGTAGTACATTCATTGTAGGGTGCTGTATTGTACATTCCTTATAATTAGGCCCAGTTCGCGCGTACGAGGTTAATCAGTTACCGGGCGAGATACATCAACATTACCAAAGTCATAGTTACCACGTGCAATCGAATACTTCATATTAGTCCTCACAAAGCCTTACTCAACATTTTTTTTTATTCATTTTGCTTTTCCGATTTTCAACTTTAAACTTACCTTAGAACCAGCGTACCATGTTCACTCACGTTACATATAAATAATTCTCCACATATTTATTTCAACCTTATTTTAAAATGTATCTTATATTTTATATAATTATTTTCGACGTATATCTTTCATCTCCATATTTATATCAAGTTTGACATATATCAATCATACTCAATGTTCTCTAGTGTGCAATAACTACAATCGATGACAAGACGGAGTTATTATCCCGGATGTACAAGTTAATAACCAATCAAAAAGCTTATTCCATACGGGGAATTTAGAAATATTGAAAATTATCAGATTGGAATGATATCACTGCAGCGTCTTTCTTTCATGAAAATAATTCACAGCGATCGTGTATTTCATGTTTTAAAATGATATTCTAGTCCGTGTTTTTAAACACAATTTGTTTCGATTAGTGCATAATATATACATAATTTTGTACTATTTTAATAGGAACAACTAGGCAGTTCGGACCTTTATCATTTTCGCTGAAGACTCAAGAAATTGAAATGGAAATTAACAATTCAGATAACACGACAGCACTTATGTCACACAATGTGACGGAAGGTACCCCGATGGTTCGAGAGGTGGATTTTAATTGGGTTGATATCTGTAAATCCGCTATGGGAATCATAGGTGCCATTGGAAACGCAATCGTTATCATCATCGTTTTAAGAACCAAGAAATTACAGAGTATAACAAACACATGTATTGTCAGTCTCGCGGTTGCTGATCTTTTCACGTCCGTTCTTATTATTCCATATCCACTAGTGCACATTCCATCGGGATTTGTTGGGGAACTTGTCTGTCGATTTTATGTTTCGGGATTTCTACTATGGATGAATTTTGACGCCTCTGTATTCAACCTTATGGTCGTCACCGCCGAGAGATATTTTGCAGTCGTCCACCCGATAAAACATAAAATCCATTTCACGAAGAAGATGATGCAAGTACTGATTATTGGTGTATGGGCTTTATCGGTCGTTACGCATAGCTTTTGTCTATATATCTGGCAATATGATCGCGAAGAGGGTGGCTGCAAACTGGATTGGCCGGGATCATTGGCATTTCAAGCATTTGTGGGTATAGGACTGTTCTTTGCAACTTATTTTCTCCCTGTAATTATCATGTTTTCCGCTTATTGGCGCATCATGATAATATTAAAAAAACGTTCTAAAGAACTTGGCGAACAATAAACAGAGAAGACCAGCACTTTCACTTCTTCGAGCGCGGGAGAAGATAGTGAAAATGCTCTTCATCGTGGTTTTAACATTCGGCATTTGCTGGGCTCCTAATCAGTTTCTGTTTCTTTGCTATAATTTTGGGATGCATTTAGATTTCAGTAGCGTATATTATCATTTAATTACTTTAACAGGGTTTTGTAATTCGTGCATGAACCCTTTCATATATGGATTCCAAAATAAGCAATTTCGTCAAGGGTTCGTGAATCTCTTAGGTTACCGACGTGCCAATACGGTCGGTGACTCCATGATATCAAACATTACAGGCAATGAATAATGACAGGAGTGATAATAAACTAAAACCGACTATCAGGGTAGATTATTATAAGTCATTTTATATATGTTCGAATTTGTTGGTGTTGTTAAGTTGAAAATATCATTTTCAATTTCTGTTCCTTGATTGTCATGTATAGTATTGTTTAGTATTTTTCAGCACGATATGCCCTTATTTTATCAGTGTCAGCAAAGTTTTTTAAGTGACTTTGAATATAATCATTAAAAAGATTCTTTCTTTAAAACAGTAGTTCGTATTAGTTTTAGATAATATGTCTATGAATGTCAGATTGCTTACTGATGCAATGAATAGTTTACTCATTTGGATATCAAAGCCAAAAGCCCTATGGCTCATAGTTTGTCGGGGCACAGGTCAACATGTGTTTGTTAATTAGTTAAATGCATAAGAATATGTATCAATACATTTCTACATTTATTCATCTAGTGTTATCTTTATAAACAGTTTAGATTATTCTAGTTTATTCATATTTCCCTATTAACTGAGGAAATTACCCTATTATTTCACTGTTAAGATCGTTTTCATGTGTTCTTACATTAAGAGTTACCCCCTATGAGCAATGGAATCGACCTCAAACATGCTAATTATTATGCAGTGTTACCCATGATTCCTACTCTCGATGGATATGGCGGTCATCAATGGTCCACATTTGAATTTAGTTCATAGTTTTCAAGTTATTCACCTATTTGCCCCTCATCAAGGGCACTCACAGTTTAATACAGAAGTTTGTACTACTGATGTAATTACTGGTTGAAATGTTCAGCGTTCTACCCATGAATAAAGAAGTCATTACGACTTTCTTTTGAACTCGATCATTTGAGTCTGCTGTATGTTCTGTGGAGATTTATTAAACGTGGCGAGTTATTCGAACCGAATTCCCACAGCCACATAGTTCAAATGATCAGTCGGTAGCCATTCATAGCATGATTTAGCGAGATTGTTTTTTTTTATTTATCATGAATTTAGAATGCTCATCAGCCGTTTAATATATGCTGTGTGTGCCCTCTCTAACAGCGGAGTCGCATCGGCCTATACTCTACGTTTAAATTAGTAGCATTTCATTTCACAAGGACACAATACTATAATTCAAAATATTGGATGACCACATTTATGTAAATTGCATCTTTACTTTGCCAAGAATATAAGCTGTATTCATGATAAAATATCGCACGGTGACAAGATATATTTGATTTCCCTGACACATTTCACTTGCTTTAACAGATGTTGTGATAAGATGTATTTTCATTCTATTTGGTCAAAATGATTAGTATTTTTTGGTGTTGTTTCTTTAACCATTCTTGAAGTTATTTGATCCAAATTGTAAAGATGGTTATCCGTGTCAGGAAACTGGTTTACGTAATTTGTGGCTGGAACTTCACATCTATCGGTGACGCTAATGACCACGTACGCATTCCGCAACAATCTTGTATATACATGTTACAGTTCCCCCACTTGCTAATTTAAATATACATGTATGGATGGATGGCTGTATTAAGGCATTGACGTCGGTTTTGACTGCCCGTGTGTACGCGAACGTCGTTTGAACCTGGTATCCCACAAGTAGAAACTTATTAATGAGACACCCAAGGGGCATGTAAATTATGTTTCAGGAATCAAAGCTGTATTGGTACACTACTAGTGCGTGTAATGTATGATATGTGGAAATTATAGTTCCATTTTACCATGATTTCTGCTTCTGCACACAAAAATGTTCAAACCATTTAAGAGGTGGGGTTTCCTTGAAATGTGTTTCAAGGGGTGGGTTTTTATGTAAAATTGTTTTACTGGACGGTGTTTTGTGGAATTTTGCCGTTCGGGCCGTGATCATCACAAAAGTTGGTGCCTCGTATACACGTCCTCGACTTGTGTGATGCGGCTCGAATGACACGAGCGGCGATACGACTCTATTTGCAATTTCACTGGCACTTTTATGAATCCTTTCATCAGGGGACTTTTTCGTATGAGTTTGTAATATTCCGCAATTGCATGTTGTCTGTGTTATGTAACCATTTTTATTTCTTTCGAAGAGTTTTCTTAAAATAAATTGTAAACTGTATACTACCATTCAGTCATGACTCCATGGGGATACTTGGCGTCTCAGTTTGTCAGGCTTAGTGGCAGGATAATCCTCGCTATTTGTAAACAATTTGCTGGAATATTTAACGAATATGGCTGTATTCGGGCCATGGGAGCACAATAAAACTGAACGGACTATATATAGTGAGTTTCGAAGCTGTAATGAACCAATTCATTCATGAATCTTGTTGAACATATACTCGACGAGTGAACCAGACAGTACGGTATGAGAACAACTTTTTAAATGCTACTCGTTTTTTAGTCATGTTAGTGCTTTGTGAAAACTGAATACAACATCAAGATTATTGTAATGCAAATTTCAAGTTTACGGAATGTTTTGATGTGTTTTTCTCCCATAATTACTACCCACCTACGTACGATAGTCGGACAACTTGACCGACCCCAACATGTTGAACAACAAATAAACAACGGCTGCCGTTATGTTATGAAATAGATTGACATTGACATTAGTCAATCTATTTCATAACATGACGGCGGAGAAACCTTGAGAGGTGGGGGAAGTATTTATCGGCAATGATTGTGGTATGCATGTATGAATCTTTTTGCATGAGTATGGGGAACGCGAAAAATCGTGCACTGAGTTCAGCGTCTGCCAAATTCCCTGATTTGATTGCAAGTCATTATTGAACATAGTTCGGTCGACACGGATTACTGTGATGTTCACCTGGATTACTGTAACAGTATATCCAGCTGAAATTGTCTTCTAGTTGTAATGCAAAATAATTACACGTTGCCAGGTTATAATTATCTTAGACTGGACATGATGAATGTTTTTCTCTATGTGACATAGAGAATTAGACAAATTGTAGAGATCGCAACGTGAAGACTCATTTGCGTGAATGCTCAACACCGAGCATATACCGGTAGTAATGTGTGTACGGAATATCGCAAATTACCCTTTACGATATTTTGTATTCGGATTTTAGAATTTCAATAAATGTCATTACTTTTAGACAATTTAGATCTCTGATATATGATCAGTTATTTTATTTGCAAATTTAATGCAATATAACAGCAAGTCATGCAAAATGTGGTCCCTTATCAGTATATAAAAAACATACAA